CCTCAGTCCAGTCCTCTGCCTTCAGGTCACTCGCTCTCAGCTCTGCCTTCGGATGAGTCCGTAGAGCCGAGTGGCCCGTATCTAGAGCTTGTGGGCTGCCTCATGTACCTGTTGACCTGCACTCCACCTGACCTTGCATACTCTCTTAGCATCCTTGCACGCTATGTAGCTCCTGGCCGTCAACGGAAGGAGCACATGGATGCTGCTAAGAGGGTGTTGCGCTACCTGTGCAGTACGTCGGGCATGGGGCTAGTGCTTGGAGGACGAGACCGAGTTGTACTCACTGGGCACTCAGACGCTTCTTGGGCTGACGACCAGGCTACGCAGCGGTCGTCACAGGGTTACACCTTCAGCCTTGGCTCTGGTTCAGTTTCTTGGCGTTCTACTCGTTCTTCTTCTGTTCTCAGCTCCACTTGTGAGGCTGAGATCTACGCCACAGCCATGGCTGCACAGGAGTTACGCTGGCTCACCTACCTGCTGACCGACCTGGGAGAGCGGCCTAGTTCTCCTCCAGTGCTGTACGTCGACAACAAGGCTACCATTGCCTTGTGTGAGGAGCACAGACTGGAGCACAGAACGAAGCACATCGCTCTGCGGTACTTCCTTGCTCGAGAGCTGCAGAAGCGTGGCCAGCTTCGTCTGCGTTACGTGGCCACTCGGGCCAACACTGCTGATGTGTTCACCAAGGCACTTCAGCCTTGAGACCATCAGCGTTTCTGTACTGTTCTAGGCCTTGTGCCTACTTTCCCTCACTTACTCACTTCTTGACTCTGCTGGTACTCTGATCTCTATATATATACCTGCATGCTTACACTTGTTAGGTTGTGATCACTGTATCATCTCTTGATATATTATCAAACTGCATGTGAACTGGTCTTGTGACCGCTTACTTGTGCTCGGAATTTGTGTGGTATCCTTCAGATCCACCCTGAGCTTGTTTTGCCTTGCTTTGCTTTGACTGGTCTTGTGACCCCTTGCTCTCCCCCACTTCGCCTATGGGGGTGTGTCAAACATTATATATGTTGTAGTTGTTTAGGCTACAGTGGGTTAGCCTTTAAGGGGTACACAATTCTAGGTTTAGGTACTTGTACTCACTTCTCTCTCAATTCAATCATTCATTCTCTAACAGTACACACAGGTAACAGGCACCGTCAGCACTAGTAGGCAATGCATACATGGCATTGAGAATAGCATCATAGTCAAGAGCAAATACATCTACCCTCTACCCAAGTAGCTCCAGCCAGGTGGGGAGCTCAGCCTCGTCGCCAAACTCGGTCTGCCAAGCGTCGCTCAGATGGGCGAAGCAGCGGGACTGTGTGTGACCAGGTGTCCCGCAAGGCTGACCAGCCCAATCACCTGTGCGAATGACGTATGGGCAGCGAACGGGACTCAAAGACCCTCTACTCTGTGCGTACCACTCGTGAAGCTGCTGGGAAGTAAGTGTCTCGCGTGGACGCCGCTGCAGCTACAGCTGGCCACTGCCAGACGCTCCCAACTGACCAGCTCCAGGGCGACAGCTACGACGGCTACCGCCACAACCCCAATTAGCATACCACTCACGAAGCTGCTGGGGCGGGAGAGACTCGCGTGGATGTCGCTGGAGCTGCATCTGGCCACCGACAGTAGCAGCTGGAGCAGTAGCAGTAGCCTAGCAGTAGTAACAGAAGGAGCAGCAGTAGCAGCGCGGGCAGGGCAGGCGCGGCAGGCAGGCAGGCAGGCAGACAGGCAGGCAGGCAGGCTGGCAGGCAGGCGGATGGCGCAGCAGCGCGCTAACAAGGCAGGTGCTCACCAAGCGGGAAGGGCAGGCGCTTACCGGGCGAGCAGGGCCGGCGCTCGGCGGGCGGCTGCACGGGGACCAGGGGTGGCGTCGCGGGTCCAGGTGCGGCGTCGCGGGGTCCAGGGGCGGCTGCACGGAGTCCAGGGGCGGCTGCACCAGGGGCGGCTGCTTTAGGGGCCCGGGGCGGCTGCGCCAGGGGCGGCTGCTGCAGGGGCCAGGGGCTGCTGCTCTGGGTCCAGGGGCGGCTGCTCGAGGGTCCAGGGGCGGCTGCACCAGGGGCGGCTGCTGCAGGGGCCAGGGGCGGCTGCTGCAGGGGCCAGGGGCGGCTGCTCTGGGTCCAACGGTGGCTGCTCGAGGGTCCAGGGGCGGCTGCACCAGGGGCGGCTGCTTCAGGGGCCAGTGGCGGCTGCTCTGGGTCCAGGGGCGGCTGCTCGAGGGTCCAGGGGCGGCTGCACCCGGGGCGGCTGCTTCAGGGGCCCGGGGCGGTTGCTCCAGGGGCGGCGTAGCTGGTGCAGGGCAGCGCGTGGGTCCCACAGATGCCGTGACGGGCGACGGGGGGCAGCGCGCCGTCACCGGAGAAGGTGACGCGTGGGGCCGATGGTAGGCTGCGCAGGCGGCTGACTTAGCGCGCGGGGCCGAAAACGGGCTACGCAGGCGGCGGACGCGGCGCGCAGGGCCTAAGCGGGCTGCGCGCGGGCGGCTTACGCGACGCGCGGACCGGCGGCAGGCTGCGCGGGCAGCTGACGTGGCGCGCGGGGCCGAAAACGAGCCTACACCGGCTTAAACGAAGAGTGCGCGGGCTGCTCAAGCGGCGCGCGCGGGAAAAAAAAAAAGGACCGCGCGCATGCAGCCAAGGCGCGCGCGGGCAGCAGGCAAGGCAGGTGAGGAAACGTGGTAACGGTGGGCCCTTATCTTAGGTCCTAGAGACCTCTAGGCTCTAGATACCATCTTATAATCTTAGGCATGAAGTTGTGTGATTGAGTAGGTCAAGGGGGGGTACAAGAAGAATGTCGAGAGAAATATTGTACCCCCTAGTGCTAACCCCCATATAGCCTAGACAACCTAAACATAACATATAAATATAACTTGACATGCTGATGGGAGAAGCGGGCCTTCCTCTCACACGATTCAGGACGTCGGTGTTGTGTGAGAAGGGCAAAGGCGCTCCTCTGAAAAAGCTGAGAGCGGAGCTGAAAGGACCAGTTGTACAGCCAAAGCAACAGAAGAAGTGGGAACAAGAATACGGGAAGCCGATTGACTGGAAGGAGGTCATCCGAAAGCGTGACACTCTGGTCACCTCGGGCAGAGCAAGGGAAGTCATTCTGAGGCTGCAGAGCAAGAACCTCCAAGTTGGGGACAGGCTGCACTTCATGCGAGATCGCATTAGCTGCCCGCACTGCAAAGAAGACGAAACCCTAGGACACTGTTTGCTGGAATGCAACAGCATACAGCCTGTCATTGGCGCGCTTAAGGGGGCGCTGAAGCAGATGAACCCGACAAAGGAGGTGGAAAAGTTGGAGGACTTTCTGTTTGCTGCAGATGGCATGTCGTCAGGTTTTCCGGAAAAACCGTTGATTGCGGTGGCATTTCACCAGATATGGCTCGAACGGTGTGAAGTAGCTTTTCGGCAGGACACATTCCAACCGCGGAGAGTCCTCAGGAAGATAGGTGTGAATTTCATGAAACACGTCAGAATCTACAGTGCTTGCAAGAAACAAGTGGTGAAAGAAGAGGCAAATGGGGCGAGGCAATGCTGGCCCCATTTGGCGAGGGACGAGGCTTTGCTGCTGAGCCGGATTTTTCATGACGAGGACACACTGACGTGGAAGGAGGAGTTCAGATCGGTGTGGGCCAACCCGAAAACTATCTTCCATCCAACTTAGTCTGTCAAGGAAGGGCGGTGTAGACCTCTTGTCTGCCTGGTCCCTTCCCCCTTACAGTTACGACTGTGGATGTACCCACTTTATAAGTGTAATATATCCTTCAAAAAACAAAAGAAAACCCTGTTGGGATAAGAAAATGATTACCAAACTATTATGGGGGTCAGGGAATTGCCATGTAGTCGACAGCTTTGATGTTTGAGAGTGGTCGGACCCATCCATGATTTCATGCTTTCGCAAGCCTGGCTGTTTCCTCCCCCAATTACTGTTTCCGTCGTGGATGCCGGTCAACATATTGGAGACGCTTGTAGCATGTAATTTGTGAAAACCAAACCGAAATGCCCCCCGATCTTGCCGGATCGCCGTGGCGAAGATCAGAATGGCGGGAATGATCAGAATCCCAAGATTACGCTGCCATGCCTAGTCCGATCTCAAGCTACCGCTATATCCAGAGAGGCGTGCATCGCATCGTAGCCCCACGGATTCGTCAGTTTGGAATCTTTGTTACCAGGTATTAGTTCTTGACTATGGTTCGTGATACCACGTCTCGTGGATCTGTCGGGGCGAGAAACCTGATTTTGGAAATTATTCGTAGATCGGTTTTCGAGGGTCCTTCCCTGTGGATTAGAGGTCGTAGGTCAGTTCGATCAGATCTATCTCAATCTGAACGGATCGCGGCCCTTCCAGGGTGCTTGTTCCTTCCTTCCGCCTAAATCCCCTTGGTCGTCAGGCTTACGACGACGTTCGCTACTGCAATGCGCTCATGCCTGAAGAACCGCACCCTGTAAGGAGCTTACTATCAAGCATTACGGGCCCGGGGTAGGCACGATGGCCTCCACGATGGATCAGACTGATTTGTTTTTAAGCGTCGACAGCAGGGTGAGGTGAGGTGGGCACTGGGCAGGGGGGAAGGGAAAAGGGGAGGGAGAAGGGGAAGGAGGTTTGAGGGGGAAATGGGGGAAGAGGGGAGGAGGGAGTAGGGAAGAGGGAGGAGGAGGAAGAGCGTAGGAAGGGAGGGGGGAGGTAGGGAAAGGAAAATGAGAGCAAAATACCACATGTTACTGGCTATCACATGTTTACCAGATCCTTTCCATCCGTTCACTTCTCATTCTCCTACAAACCTTTTCCACTGCCCTCTTCCCCAGCTGCTCAGGATGATTTATTGTGGACATGAGACTCACTGCTGCTCGGTCCGTCACAGCAAGGTAAGTTTCAAATTCTTTTTAGTTTTACAAGTTTTGGCAAAACCAAGGGGACGTCCAGTCTATCAATACTACAATCCAGACAACACAAATCAAACCAGGAACGAGAAAGCAGGAGCAAGGCTTAGGTCCGCCATTCGATCATGACTGACTGGGCGCGACGCGGCCAAACACCATGTCCTCTACAGTAACCACGGGCCTTCCATGCAATCTGAAGGGGTTGTGCGGCCGCTGCACTTGTCTCCTTTCAAACGCATTCTCAAACACGTTCTCCTCGCCCAGTTGCTCTCCTGTCGATTCAAGCCCCCGGGAGTAGCTTCTCCTGTGCCTGTTGCCGAATACGCCAATGCCATTGCTGTCGTTGTTGTCGTCGCTGCGGTTGCTGCTTACGCGGGGAAATCCGGTGCTGGTTGCAAGTTTAACGCCAGTGTGTCTTGCACTGTAGCTCCACGTTGTAGCACTTGCGTCGTTGTCACACTCGTTGCAGCCAATGCCGGTCGAGAACTGGGGATGGATGCTACGTCCGGCCGTGCACCAGCCGCGGTGCATCAACGGCGACTGCGCGCGCTCCTGCGCAGCAGTGGCAAATATCTGAGCGGCAGCATTGTCCAGTTGGAAGCTGAGATCTTCCGGAACCGCGAAAAAGTGGCCGACTTTTGGGCGGCTGGAATAATTAGTTGGGCAGGGAAGGGATGGTGATGGCGATGGTGGGGAGGGTGGGCATCTGGGGGAGAGCATGGGCGATGGGAACGTGGAATTCGTGGCAGCGGAGGAGGTGGGGGAGAGGGTGAGCGAGTGGGTGAGGACTGGGGAGAAGTGGGATGTGGGGGTGGTGGGGCGTTTAGCGCTGCAGCAGGTGCAGGGAGTGCGGTAGATGGATGGCATGGGGGAGGGGGAGAGGTTGCGGCGGTCGAGGGAGAGGAGAGGAGGCTGTAGGCTTGGTGATTCCGGGAGCAGTGACGGGGAGCAAGTCGCAGACGATGCTGCTGAAGATGAAGTTGTACTCGAGTAGTAGCTCTCACCCAATGAAGCATTTCTTCTCATAGTGCGCGTGCTGGTGTTGGTGCTGGTGCTGGCGTTGGTGCTGGTGCTGGCGTTGGTGTCGCAGCTCTTGCTAGCAGTGATGGTGGGGTTGTTGTTTGAGCGCGTCCGGGTAACCACATTGGTCTCAGAGATCCTGTACGTGTTACCAAGAATGCTTGCCGTTAGTCCTTCCTCCGTTATAGTCACATCGTCCAGGGCGTGCTCTTCCGCCTCGATGTGCATCCCAGCCGCGCCATGATCCGCGTTAGTAGCACTGTCTCGTTGTAAGGTCAATGCGGCCGCAGCACTCTCGTCATCGCCTGGACTAATTCTGTTGACATCGGGGGCTGGAAGCGCGGCGGCGTTTGTCGGAGCCTGAGGTGGCTGGAGGAAGTACACGTGCCCAGGCTTCATCACTTGCTGCGGTCGGAGAAATCCATTGGATGACGTCAGCGACCCCACCTGGCAGCCCAGGTGATTCTGAAGCACGTCGCTTGCGCGGGTGGGCCTTCTTCTGTCGTCATTCGCGACGCCGGCGGCCTCGTCGCCAGCCAATTTTGGGCTACGCGACTCGGCGACAGAATGGGGCGACGTGACGATTTGGACGGAGCCGTCGGGAAGCAGAAGGAGCGCCGGTTCGCCGTCCGTTTTAGGGTCGGCGGCACCACCGAGTGACGGCGGCGGACGTGAAGCTGATCGCGGCTTGGAGGCGGCGGCTGACTTCGACGGCGGCGCCGCTTTGGAGGTCCGCGCGACTCCGGTTCCAGCGACGCCCCGCTTTCCGTCGCGTTTAACTTCCCAGTTCTTCTGCGTCGGCGTCAGCGCGCGGCTGTTGCTTAGCGCCTGAGTGAGGCGCGACCAGCCGCCCGCGGAGAACTTGGGCGGCGCGCGGGGGGCGCCGGATGATGGGCCATCCGGCCAATGCACTGACTCCGCGGCCAGCGCGGGCTCGAGATCCTCGAAGATCGAGTTGGCGAAGAGTAGCGAATGGATGGGTAACCCGGTGTTTGCGCCTCCAGGACACATGGCGACGGTGTTAGTGGTCGTTGGCGAGAAAGCGGATGAGGCGGTGGTTGCTGTCGCAATGTAAGGCTCGATGGGGGGGCCGGATCGCACCTCGAGATCTGAGATCTCGGTGCTGTGCGCTGCGCGCCTGTCGATTATAATTGAAGTGAAGTTATCGACAGTCGCGGCAACTCACGAACGTGCGCCGCGGACTCCCTGCGGAGTACTGAGGGTACCTAAGAAACAAGTCCGATGCCAGCGGTGTCGAAGAGTCACTCTCCTGAGGAATGAGGGGGCGAAATTTCCAGATAGTTCTTTGCTTTGCTGTACCTGAGGATTTGTACATAATTTGACCTCGCACGAACGCTGGAACTGCGATGGAGGGTGAAGGGTCAGGTAAGGGAGTACACTAGATACTCGGTATTGTAGTAAACGTTCATATTTTGTTCACTCGAAACCTACCTGGAACTTGGCAGGATAATGGTAAGGAGAACAATGTTTTTATGGAAAATGAAACCGTCGATGGTTATGCAATCCCACATTGTTCTAGTTCTCACTGACGCATAGATGATCTAAGTAGCTAACCTTACGAATTGAGCTAGTCTGAAGGCCTGGTGTAGGCAGTCAAGAACGTCCTCTGTGGGGTGGCGCTTGTGTTGAGCGATTCGAAGATGGAGGAGACACCACAACTCATGATAGCGGCTCGGCTAACCAGGGCTATCCCGACCAACCTGGTTACGCGAGGCTCGATCTGGACTGCGCTTGGAGCTGACTACTAGCCCGATCTCGGCTACCCTGTACCGTATTTTATGGTGGTGACGCCAAATTCCTAAAATAATCTGAACGCAATGGTCAGCTATTATTGTGATGCTTAGTACAATCCTCGTCCTATTTATCATAGTGTACCATCAACGCTTTGCTCTGGTGGCTCTGCTGTCTAGCGATTTGAAGGTGTAGAGTTGATTCCACTGCAGCATTTTCACGACTTGATGTCCTACGTTGCTCGTTTAAACGCACTTCTTGACCGTGTTTTGTGGATGGCTGTTCGAACGTTACCCTTTACAGTAAAGCTCAACTTGTAGGACATCGACGCCCTTTCGAACCACACATCCAAATGCTAACGCTTCGTTACACGATGACCCACGTGCTAGAACACAAATGTTGCCTTGGAACCCGCCCAGGAGCTGCGTCCTCCGCCCCCCTCATTCCCCCCTTCTCCACTTCACAAGCGCACTCTTCTTCCGTCCGCCCTACAGTGCCCCCGCTCTCTCGTCCCTTATCAGAACGTGTGGCCACACGTGTTTGGGCAAGACGAGCCCTCGAACGCACGCCAGCCACCAGCGGAGGGGAATCTCAGCTGGGTTCATTGGTGCCTGGCTGTTCATCCCAGAGACGCAAAAGAAAATGTTATTCAAATCAATCCCATTCTTACAGAGACATTTAGAATTTAACAAAGCATCTGTGGGTGCATGCCTCGTTTCCGTGTACATCCTTTGCTGAAACGACGAACGCTTCCGTGTACAATACTGTACAACAACTTCGAAGATGGACCACTGCAGCGGCGGGAGCAACCCGGAGATTGCTCATATCCGGCCATGATTCCCAAAGCTGTACATGGGCGCTGGAGGCGGCGGCAAGGGGAGCTTCTGGTTGGATCATGTCATGAGCAGGTTTGTACAAATAATGCTCACCTCCTGCACGCGAGTTTGCCTTGTACCCGGATGGAAACCTTGCACCCGGTTGGTTTGTGCCGTGAAGCTGCACCCCATTTACAAGCACCTCGAACAAGGTGCAACCTAAACCAGCCAATACAAACAAACAGAAAACGAGGTTTGACTGAGAAGACTGAAGTAAAAAAGTCAACGATGAGTTACACCTGCTTTTTATAAGCCCATTTTTTAAGGTTCGAATTGACGAAACCTTAGCGAAATGCAAAAACCACTTATGAGCCCAAACTACAAGGCAAAGTTGGGTGCGCCAAACGAGCATCATTTGTACGAGGCAACCACAGAGGGCCACACTTTTGGTGGAACGGGCACAAGCGACACCAAGAACGCCTTCGCAGCTTCCGCGGCAAGCTCCCATGTGAAAAACTTGCCTCGCTGGATTCGGAGAGCGGGTTTGATTGGCCAAATGAATTACCGAGGGCAGCGAATTGTTGTTGCAACCTGCATGCGAACGAGAAGGCAGCATCTTCCGGCCTTCGTACGAAATTTCTAGAAACACATAATGCTTGGGTCAGCAAAAGTGTGTGGGAGACAAAGAGGGACCATTCCAGGTGAGCAAAGCGTGTGGAATTACCTTAATGCACGCTTTTCCACGAGATTCGACAGGTTTGCGTTGCGTCGCATGACATCCACACACCAAGGCCTTGTTCTGTGGCCCCTTCAGTTTCTGTAGGTTTTCGTGAGAAATACACAACTCTCGGATTTTTTTACAAAGTCCGTGTTTATCTCTCCGTGGTGCATTTCAACCATAACTAATCCGCGTCTGTCACCCTTCCTAATCTCCTCCTTTTCCAGCATTTGCAATGTCTTGCTCCCAGTTTTGTTCGCCTAATGGAGCACGCCCCTGGGTGCCTCAAAGAAAAGACTACTCAGCCAATCAGAGAGCTACTGCAGTACAGCGCACAGTACAGTACAGAAACTGGCACAAAATCAATTTCATGAAGCAGCTGCTACCGTTTATTCCAGCCGACTAAAAAGGGGATCTAACCAGCAAGAGGAGTGACTGTTTTCGATATACGCTCTGAGGAAATTGCAACTCTCGGGCTACGAACTGTATCTAGGTATGAACTCATGTTTTGTGTTTGTTTGATGCAGTGTTGACGAATAATTAGGTTTCAGCTGAAAGGGCAGCAATTGATGCTAGGACTAATGGTACATTCCTGTGAGGATGCGTCTTTGGAATAAGCGTTTCATAAGCTTAATTCATTAGCGTCTCGGATGCTCTGAACCCGTGAAAAGTGACATTCCAGCCATATATGTGACTATTCATTGTTTTAGAGCATCACAATTAGTCACTACCGTAATAACTTGTTATGTAAAGTTCTGCTTCGGGTGACCCTCGACATTCCGCATGCTCTATATGAGCTATTGCGGTACTGGTACAGTGGAACAGCTTCGGGAATGCTTTATATAACCTTTCGGTTATTCAGACAAGTTCTGAAGTCAGGAGACCTCGTATGAATGTGATGACTATCCCGCAAACACATTCTTAGCCTGCAAGGCGCCAGCATGCAACTAAGAATGGCACGTACATTGCACCTGTACACCCCAATAAGCTCTGCTTTTCTCCAATCAATTTGCGCCAAACACCACTGTCTTCTTGGCCTGCGTCAAAGAGCCCATCCGCTGCAAGCCACTCTCCCCTCCCCTCCCTCCCACGCCTCTCCCCAGACTCCCTGTCACATCATTCACTCCACTATCGCCTGGCAAACATGAACTCGTTCGTCTGAGGCAAGATTTGAGCCCCACACCATCACCACCCAGGCTGCTTCCGCCTCTTCCACCATCTACACCACCACCAAATTCACCACTATTACCACCAACGGTACCACTATGCTGAAACTCGCTTATCTGAGCCGGGGACGCTCCTGGCAGCACTCCAGAGGAGCCTCTGACCAATCGCACGGATGGTCTATCCGCAGAAGAAACATTTATATTAGAGTCACCTCCCCCAAAGACACCTTGTACAGAGCTGGAGCGCTGGTGCGATGCCCGCCCCGCGCCCACCCTCCCAGGCAAGGGGGGCACAGGCGTTGGGGAGGAAACACCATGCCCCTGGCCATAACTGTTACCGCCCCTGTCCTGGTTACCACCCCTCTCCTGGTTACCACCCCTCTCCTGGTTACCGCCAAGGCCACCACCGGTCTCCGCTGCTGCAGCAGCCATGGCAGCGCGCAACGCGAGCTGCTCCTTGGAGATTTGCCGCATCAGGGGGCCCATGCGGATGCCTGATGGATGGAACAGTGGCGCGGGGGCAGGCGGCAGGTTTACGGCTGGCATGGGCGGCATGGGCTGATTGGCTGGGGCGGAGGGCATGGGGGGAGGTGCGTATGGGGATGGCGCTTGCGGCATGGGTTTTTGCGAAGCGGGTCGCGACAGCTGCGAGTTGTTGCAGTTGCTGCTGTTACCGCCTCCGCCTGTGCTCGCCAGGATCACCTGCCCTGGCTGGGACTGCGACCTCTGCAGTGGCGACTTGCGAAGTGGTGGTAACTGGTTACCACCTGGTGGCAAGCTACCCTGGGACACCAGCCTACCAGGCGAATTTCCACCTGAGTTCCCACCTGAAATTCCGCCTGAGTTCCCACCTGAAATTCCGCCTGAACCTGCACCAACTCTGCGTCTGACCGTTGGATCAAGACCACCAGAGCCCGAGGAAGGGTTCAGATGCCGAGACGCGGGAATCCCTTCAGCACCACTGGGACCGAAGCTCACCCCTATATCCTCCCATCCATACCCCTCCATCTCCTCCTCTGCCTCCTCCGCCTCCGCCGCCTCCTCCTCCCTCTCGCACTCCCCTCTCTCCCGCCCTTCACTGTAGAAATTGTCCGCGCCCGTTGCGCGGCCCCCTGCGCTTTGTCGCGCCCAGCTTTCTCCTGCGCCTGCTCTCAGTCCCGCGCTCTCCTCATTCCGCCGAGTCCCGCTTCCGCGCCCCCCACTGGGCGGGCGCGCAGTTTGCTGCGCCATGGGGTACGCGGCGGGCGCGGCACCCGCTGAGCCGAGCGCACTTGCGCGGAGGAACGGGTGTTCTAGCAGTTGCGCGGCGGAGGGACGGCGCGCGGGATCCCTTTCGAGGCATCTCCGCAAAAACCCGACAGCTTCCGCCGACAGATGCGCCGGAATAGCCGGCGCCGCGTTCGAGTAACCAATCGCGTGCAGCAGAGCGTCAGGAGACGGATCGGTAACGTACTCGCCGTCTATTATACCGGCCGGTGGCAGTTGGCCGGTCCAAGGCGGTGAGCCCGTCGCCATTTCGATCACTGTACACCCGAACGACCAAACGTCCGATGCGAACCCTTGATCTTCCTGTCGCACGACCTCCGGCGCCATCCAGCCGTACGTTCCCTGCAGTCGCTGCTTGCGCGCGATGCGCTGCGCCGCTTCCCCCGCGCGCATCGCCACACCCAGCCCGCACAGCTTCGTCTCCCCCTCCCCCCCCGCAACAAGCACATTCGCCGCTTTTACGTCACAGTGCACTATCCCGCGCGCGTGCAGCTCCGCCAACCCTTCCGCAATCCCACGCGCGTATTTCCGCACCAGCGCTTCCGGCAGCCCGCCGCACCCCCCGCCTCCGCCGCCGCTGTCGCCGCCGCAGCATCCGAACGTGCCCATGATATCAAGCACACTCCCAGCAGAGACATACTCGAGAAACAGATTCTTCACCCGAGCCCCCGACGCAGGGTCGGATTCCCATGCCGAGCCTAGCAGCCGAACCACGCGCGGGCAGGTTCGGAGCTCCTCCAGAATCGTCTGCTCGTTCTCCAGCTGACGCATGGTCTTAGGAAGGCTATTTATCGACACCGACTTGACCACCAGAACCTCGCCCGTGTCAGAATTTAACGCGAGATTTACTTTTCCGGTGGGGTCGCCGCCTAGATTAGGTCCACGAATCCAGCGTATAGCCGCCGCCGCGCCGCCACTCGCGGAAGTGATGGAGCCGGCGGAGGCGGCGTGTGTTGCGGCGGCGGTTGCGGACGCCAGCTGCTGCATCTGGTGTCGAGACAAGTCGGATGGGTGGCGGGGATGGGTAGAGTAGGATGATGGCTCTGATTGGTCGACGTAAGATCCTCGGCTCTTGAGAGGCGACTCGAAAGAGCGCGGCGCGGACAGCTCGTGTCGCATGTGGTGCGGCGGAAGGGACGAACGCGCGGCTATATCAGCCGCCATGACGAATCAAAACTCGCGCGACTCCACGCGCCTCTTCAAGCTTAACAAAACGCGCGCAAGTTGAGGCCAACGTTTATTTCTTTGTTCTCTTTCCCCTAGCGGGTCCTAAGAGCGATCCTTCAGCTGCCGCTGCGGGCTGCCGCGGGCTAGTATGCCGGTGACTGGGTAGTGAATGTTGTGGGTGCCTGCCTGCGTAGCCAAGTGACGGATGAGTACGAAAAATGATGCCTTACCGATGCGAAAGAGAGTAGTGCTAGGTTCTGTGCTGAAAGTGACGGTTCGGGCATCGGAATAGGGACGCTTTGCTCACTCTCCCTCACCTGACGAGTTCTGGGTTGGTCAGACGAAGGAATACGTGTGGTGTGGAAGCTGGCGTGGCGATGCAAAATGAACGCGTGAAAGAGGCGACAATGCTTGCCAGTGGAATAATGTGGAAGGCAGTGTAAGTGATCGTCGACGGATTCATCTGCGGTGAGAGGAAATAGGAGGTGCATAATCCGCTGGAATCCTGGATTGGAGGAGGTGTAATGGAATGGAATGGGGAATGACGAGTCGACGACTAGTCTATCTCGCTGTTGCGATGGAATGGAAAGGATGTATGAATGAAATGGAACGAAACTGGTTCGCATGAAGCCAGCCACCACAAAACTTAAAGCTGCGCTCTACGTACTAAGTGGTGTTTTTTGGGTGTATTTTTTCTGCCAGCCCTTTCGTGCGGCCTGATTGGAGAACGAAGTCAGCATGTTTCAGAAACACCGCAGCAGACGAACTCAGACAGGAAACTCGAATCCAGCCCAATTTCGTGCTGACGGGTGGTTTGGAGGAGGGTCTGCGGAAGGGCGGGAAACAACCCAGCCCCCTCTCTCCACCCCTCTCAACCGTTAACTTTGCAGGAAAGAGGGCCGACTCCAAAAACTGGTCACCCTGTTTTCAAGTGATAATCTCAGCCCTCCCGCTCGGAGTATGTAGGTCGCAGCTTTAAGGGCTAGTGTGTTTAGTACAGGAGGCATGAGGGGGAGTGATGAATCGGGCTCGGGGTATGAGTGGAGGTGCAGCCTTCCCTTCCTCCAAGTGGCCTGTGGTGGAGTGTACTGTACTGTTCTGTTCTGTTCTGGCCTGCCATTCCATGCATCATTGTTCGAACGGTATGAAAACAGAAAGGTTCCACGTTTAGTACACCCTGTTTCTCGATGTTTGAACAATTGGTAGCCCCGGCTACAGTGCGCACGTGTGCTTGGATTTAGCGGGCTGGTGCTTGCAACCGAAATGCACTTCAGGAGAACGGTAGACAACGGTTTACGAAAACAAACGTGCTTTTAAGTTCGGTTTCGTGCGGCAAAAGTGCTTATACGGTATGTTCTGGGACCAATTTGGACGCATTGATGTCAGTACAACCGGCTTGTCAATGTGGCGAATGTCAGTGTGGCGCGAAACAGGGTGTATTTTCGGATGCTTTGGAGTGGGTTTTAACTAGGTGGTTGGTCGTAAACTTGTAGCCAGCTTGCAATTGCGAATGACCATAGCGCGTCGATTGACACATCGCTGCACCTCACACTCGGAATCGCCGTGCTGTCACCTCAAGTCATAATAATGGGGGCGCCAGTGGTAGGAAGTTTTGGCAAAGTGGCTGCCCGGGGTCGAGCTGGTCCAGACGCTGAAACTGGCTGACCAGAGAGCAGGAAAAAAAAATCAACACACTGGGCAAAGGAAGTTCTAACTGAATTGTGACTGCCCTGAAATTTCTGTCAGCAGTGCTGACGCGGAGTTGGTTAGAAGCGGCTTGCACCTATGAGCAATTCTGAAACTTTTCCAACCAATCCAGGTGTCGTCTCGTCACCTGGCTTGGCATTGACACCCCACCGCTTTATTCGCCCTTCAATATAAGCATGGTGTGACAAGAGTACCGAAATAAGGGCTCGTTGCGAATCTAGTGTAACAAGTGCTTTACACGAGCACAAGAAAACTCGCTTTCTACACGATCCCACTTACAAGACAAATCGCTTTCACCAGAAAATACAAATAAACCCTTCTCATACCGTCATAAGGGGAAAAATGTTGCTGAGGGGCAGTCGACACTATAAGGTGCCACAAGTTTAGCAGAGTAAAGGGGAGAAGGGGAGAATAACTAGTCCAGCAAAGTGACAGTAGGGTACTAGCTCCACTCCTCACTCCAAGTGCAACTGCTGCTGTCTATGTACAACCCAGAAAGTCGGCTGGAACCTGCTTTCCGTCCATGACTGAAATTCCCTTCATTGCTCTCCCCGTGCTTTTTGGAAAACCATCTTAACAGCGAAGCTTTTCCGTGTGAGTCGTGCTTCCCGTCACGTTTGTCTTCTCTTCCAGGTGAAGACACCACCCTAAAACTGCCACTCAGCAGTCTGTGGGGACGGCTAGGGGAATCGTGAGAGGTGGTGTCGAGATCCTCTTGCTCTTCGGAAATCGGGATGCTGCCACAGCTGCTGCCGTTGACCGAGCCGCTACTGGGGAACCTCCTGGAAGGTGGGATTAACTTAGCCGCAAATCCGGGGCTTGTGTTATCATACGGAGCGATCAGAGCGATGGAGCTTGAGGAGGAGGGTCCAGAGGAGAATGATCCGTTGGACTCGGAAAAATATCCGTTAGATTCGGAGAAAGATCCGTTAGACGAGAGCGAGTCCGGAGAAAGTTGCATTGACGAAGCGTAAGCAAAGGGCGGGAGTTGCGTCAATGGATGCGCTGGCGACACGTGGCCGGTCCAGTTGTCGGCGGCGGGAGGGGTAGCGGCGGGACCGTTGAGGCCATCAGGGCAAAGGTGGGACTGCGAAGCGACCCGTCTGTGTCGGTTGCGGTACGCGGCCGCATGGCTTCCGATATGCGCGGCGACTGGAGAGGCGAACCGGCGCTGCTGCTGCGCCATGGCGTGATGCGCGGCGAGGTGATCGCCGGAGAGCGGCATCGCATCCGCCATTACGAAAGTCGCGATCCCGCTCGTGATTCCGCTCATGTCATACCCATGCCCGGAATCGTGAGTTGTGGATCGCGGGATCGCGCGCCTTCGAGACGCGTTCCCATCATCTGCCGCCCAGGTGGCGTAGCGCGAAAGGTCGTCTGAAAGGGCTTCGGGGTCGCATCTGTCGTCGTCGGGCGAAAAACGTTTCGCCATCTCCGTAGCAAAGTCGCCGGCGCGGCTGGTGGTGTCGTCGACACATGCTCCAAACGCGCTGACCGCCTGCTCCACCGTCTTGAGCGCGCCCGACCGCCGATTTGGTCGATTAATAGCGCCTTTAAAGGGCCGGGTCCCGGCAGCTGCGTCGGTTTCAAGGTTGGGTGTAACCATATCCGACTCGGGCGACTGGCTGTCGCGCTCCTTTGAAACGGATGGCTTTCGTGCCAAATTCTTGAAGGTTTTCTCTTCTGCATAGTCGCTCTCCAGCATCACCGCGCGGGTCAAGACGTGATACGTGCGTCCCGGAAGGAGCACGGTATGGGTAGACAGAATAGCTTCGTCGGAGTCGAGGCTGCTGACGTGGCAGCCGGGGTACATAGCCATGACATCGCTAACGTGGACGGTGGCGTCTGGTTGGATAATGTTGACGCTGTTGTCAGGCAGTAGCAACAGAATGGAGTCGTCGTCCATCGCGTGAGCTTTTCTGAGACCTCTCGAGCGAAGGAAATGTATGGAGAACTACAACCCCTGAGCTGATGGAATCAAGGTGGCTTTACAAAGCATTCCTCGGATTAGTAGAAGACTCCCAAGTACTCCTACCGTCCTCCCAAGACAAGAGAGAATGAACAAGAATGTTCCTTGAACTCCAAGCAAGCGACACAAAAAGCAGGCAGCGTGTTGATGTCGGGGGAGCAACAGGCCACCCAAAAAACGGTGTGAAAAACAAAGGGCATTTATCTTAGCGGTAACACTCATGGAGCTCGATCGCACGCGAGGTAAGTCACGCGTCCGAATTGTAACAGAGATGTCTTCTCATCGCCATCATGGTAACCATTATGCCCAGATGGTCAACATTATTGCCTCCATGGTAATGAACAGTGCATCCGGAAATCCGTGGGGTACACGTGGACAGTCAGTATCGTTTCGCTGAGTCAAACCTGACTTGTACGGTGTACAGTTTGGTTGGAACGCGAAGTTACCAGCCAGGATTTCCAGATGCACTGTTCATTGCCATGGAGGCAATAATGTTGACCATCTGGGCATGATGGTTACCATGGTGGCGATGAGAAGACATATCTGTTACAATTCGGACGCGTGGCTAATCTCGCGTGCGATCGAGCTCCATAAGTGTTACCGCAAAACAAAATGCCCAGTAAGAAAAGTGACTTTCCGCGTGTCTAATACACCCTGTTTCTCGACCCTCTCACCTTGCGCGATTCGCTGCTACAGTGCGGTCAGGTGCCATAAACCGTATGGCTGAAACCTGCGGGCAAAGCCGCACCAGCTGACGGAGTGGTACTGGGGGCAAAAATTTTCTTTATCGCTGTTTACCCTTTTCAAACGCTTTGAAACGCTTGTTTAATGTTTTTTACCATGCAGCATCCTAGCTAACCGCTTTCTTGTGAATGTGCTTGTACCGTCGGTGATAAGACCATTTCAAACGTGGTGACGTTCTACAACC